TTTTTTTTACCAAATATTTCTCGAATTTTTTCTTTATCAAGTTTATCACCTTCAAAAAGTTGATATAAAACTCGTTTTTTCTTATCATAATTATCGATTTTTGATTGTAAATCCATATTTGCTGAAACTAAGATTTTATGTTGATGACGGAATTGCATAACATCAAGTATAATACGTCGCATAGCTTGTCTATAAATAGCAACTTCATATTGAAAATACGTAAACCATCCATCAAGATCATCATCACTACGTGGTGGATAATTTATTGCTAACATAGAACGGTATTCTGTTGGAATATCATCTAAATTATGTTGATTAATACGTGGAACATGATAACGAGTAGGTTTATTCATTAGAATAGGTGATAGCATCTTTGAACAAAAAAAAAATAAACATTATGAAAGGGGATATCAAAAGAAATAGATATACTTGAACTTGCGATGATGGAAGTATTTGTGGTGGAAGAAATGTTGGTTGCCCAACCTTGCAAAAAATAAAGAAAATGAATTTTTTTTAATTATCATTTAAATACAGACAAGAGAAAGGTTCGCAAGACCATTTGGTATTGGTGAATGTTGCGGTAATAATGTCCATGAGTTTTGATTCAAAGACGTTTGAGACATATTTTATAAAATACTGTGATTTAATAGTAACCAGTAAAGAAATGAAACGATTCGTTTTTTTGATAGAGAAAAAAAACTTTTTGTTATATTTAAAGCAAAAAAAAGAGAACAATCAACTCTTTCAAAATTTTAAGTATTTGTTTATCTTGTGAATGTACGTGATCGATCACACTTTGAAATACTGACAACGTATGAAAATACGTATTTAAAATTTTTGTTAATCAAAATCATATATTAAATAGATTGTTTTTTTGTCTTATTATCAAACAATTTTATGCAAAATTAACAGTAAATATGAACATATGAAGTTTTATAGAAATAAACAAGAATATTCTCTTTATTTTATTAATATTTATTAAAATATAATAAAGAAAAAGTAAATAGAACAAAATAATTATAACTTACCTTATAACACATTCTTCTTTGTATTAATATTTTTCTTGATTTACTTCTATATATTCAATATATATCGTTATTTTCTCCGTAAATCTTGTTTTACATAATTTCTTTTTTCTTGACATAAATAAAATAAAAACAATTCATTTAAGAATCTTATCATGCAATAACAAAAAGTCAAAATATTATAATATTAATGAAAGACAAACTAAAATTACATAATAGGAAAAAAATTTGATTTAATGAGTATAGTGGTTAGTTTCAATTACTTATTTATCATTTATAAACGATGAGATTCGTTAGAAAGGAATGAATGAATGATATGTTATTTAATCACGTGATCTACGACGATGATTATAATGACGAGATTGATCTAAATAATAGGTTTTAAACAAGTAGTTATTTAATTTTCAAAATTCATACGATGTCGTGTTCGGGATCGACTATGAGAACGTGATCGACTACGAGAACGTGATCGTTTCTTACGATAACCTTGTGGTCGACGAATAATTGTACTTGATCGATTAAGTCCAACATTACGATCACCCATATAAATTCCAGGAGCTTTGATAATAATAAGAAAAATTCTTCTGACTCAAACAAATAATAATATTACTCACTTGGGTCATGTGCTCCCTTTGTCGTTGAATAATCAATACGTACACGACGACCATCAAGTTCCAGATCACTAAGAGCTTCTTTTGCCTAAGAATAGATACAATCAATTTTGAATAAGTAAATTTTATTCTATTTTTACACGTGTTGCATTTTGAACATCATCAAAATAAATAAAACCAAAACCACGAGATTTTTGCGTTTTTCTATCAATTACAATTTGCACATCTTTAACTCGTGCATATTTATTAAAAAGATCTGAAAAGAAGAAGAAGAATTTGTATATATTTTCAAATATTCGGAAGTACCTCTTAAAACACGTTCAGTTGTTGTTCTTGATAAACCGAAAACTCCAAGGATGGGACTTGGTTTTGGACCTGTTCGTTGACCATCATTTCCTTGTCGATGATTACTAAATGAACTCATTGGACTACGTCGTACTCGACGAGGTGATCGTGATCGAGAACTATTCAAGAAAAAAAGAATCTATGAAACATATTCTTCTCAATTTTTTATCTGATTATAACATACCGTCGTGGTGAAGATTGTGATCGACTTCTTCGAGGTGAAGTAGATGATCGTCGTCGTGATCGTTTCACATTTCGATTTTCTGAATGCTAAATCAAAACGAATTTTCTTATTCTTTACAAATTTCAAGATTTTTACTATTTACCTCATGGTCGCTCATATTACTCTAGACACAACAATTAGCTTATAAATATAATAAAGGTGAAAAACAAAATAACATATGATTACCTATAATAACTATATATATATACATATATATTAAAGAAAATCTTTCATACAGCGACATAGATTTTCATTGGTAGATATTCTATGACGATCATGTGAATTCATTGCTTTAACTTATTGAAGAAAGAAAGAGAGCGCTGTCTACTGTGTTAATAGAACTTACGAAGTTTATTTTTGTTTTATTTTATTCGAATGATGAAATTTCGAATTAAAATTAATACACAAACAACTTCAATAACATTTGATGATATTAAAGATGATTTATCACTTATTGATTTAAAAATCAAAATAAGACAACATTTTTCATCCTTGAAAAAATTTAATTTTCATTTATCACTTAATGGAAAAGATTCATTAGATGAAAATCAAACAATGTCACAATCAGGTCTGGTTAATGGTGATACAATTTATATATTAAACGAAATTAAACATAACAGCTCAACAATATCATCTATGGATCAACCATTAACAATTGATGAAATACGAGATTTACATACATATCCAACAATAATACATCGTCTTATTGAATATTCACAACCGGAAACTGATTTTGATTTTCTAGTTATTATAATACATGCTTTGATGCTTGAAAGTGGTTTCCAAATGGTAAAAGAAAAAAAAATTTTATATAAAATTAAATTTTCTATGTATTTTAGGATGTAAATAATAATTCGGATTTAAAAATTGCAAGAAAATCACCGACATTTTATGTTATTCGTTATCGACATAAATTATGTGAAGAAGAACGTATTCGATGTTCATTAGCAATTATGAAAACAGATTCCGTAGTAACAATTGATGGTAAATTAATGAATAAGAATTGTTTGTTTTTTTTATAGACATATAAATTTATTTTAGGTGTTGTGAATTCAATTTCGCAAGCGTGTGGTAAATTATCATTTCATATTGGAAATTATTTACATACACAAAAAGAAGGTATTTTAAAAAAAATCTTTATTAATTATATATAAACTACTGTCGTTTAGCGATCGCTTTAAATGCCATCTTTCCTTATCATGATCTTCGTAATTTATCAGGATTATTCAAAGATAATATTGCAAATCGTTTATTATGCAAATTACTTGAAGGTTAGATATATTCTTTTTTTTTGATATTTTAATTTCATTCGTATTTTCTAGAATCAGGACAACGTTCGAATGCAACTTTAATTGGATTACCAAATGAAATCAAAGTAATTCGATTTATTCTTTTCTTCTAAATTTCTCTATCGATATTTTTGTTTTCTAGCTTCGTTTAGCAAAATATCTTCCAATTAAATCTTTACATGCACTTCAATTAACATGTCGTGATATTTATAATACTTTAAATGACAATCTTCTTTGGCATGATTTATGTATACGAGATTTTGATAAAACTAGTAAGAATCTATTCTTATTTTTTGTTTTAAATAAAATACTTTTCTTCTTAGCATTAACATCAATATCAAGTACAATTGAAAATAGCTCAAATGGAAAAGATTGGCATAAACTTTACCGAATAATCTATGCTCAAAAACAAGCCACATTAAGACATCAAACGAAATCTTCTCCGTACTTTCATACAGCTTTTGTTCCATTACCTCCACCTGGTCATCCGACACATCGAGTTCTTTTTCCAGATCCAACAAATGCTGCACTTCATCCATTTCCACCAACTATTTATCGACCTATCCCACCAGGCATATTCCGTAAGTCTCATGTTCTTTTCTTTTTGCTCTGGGTTTTGCTTTTGAATTTTTGCTATGATAACTAAAACTATCCCGGCAAAAGATCACGACTCATTTTTTTTTGTTTTTGTAAACCTATAAGGCATTTGTACTGCAAATACACAGCAGACTCAGACAATACAGTCACAGCAGCAGCAGCAGCAAACACAACATCATATTTATTGTCAACCATTTTTTGGTTTAAAATGGGTCGTGATTTTTGCAGGTATAACGCTTAATTTTCGAATTAACAAAAAAATGAAAAGGATTTTATTTTTATTTTTATTATTTTCTTTTTCTTTTTTAAAGCTGCTACTATGATTCCATTAACGCCGTGTTTTCATACCGTTTGGCTTGGTTAGAAAAAAAAGAATAAAAATTCTTTCGTCTACTCTTATTTAATCACGATTGTTAGATTATCATATATATATATATATATATACATATATTTTGTGTTTTGTCGTTTTTAATGTATATAGATATTATAAAGGCGGTCTCTCTAGTGCATCTCACCTAACATAATCGTTTTTGTTTTTTGTTTTCGATGTGTAATTACGGTGTGTGTATTTGTTTATTGTTATTGAACATTTTGTGTGCGTGTGTGTTATTACTAGTGATTTCTAACTCCTCTATTCTTCTTTTCGTTTTTTGTCTAAACAAACCTCTTTATCTTCTACAAGACGGGAAAAGAGGTATTAGTTTATGTGCTTTTTATTATTGTATCATTGTGAAATAGTAATTTATAAAAAACTAACATCAATAAGCATAGCATAAAAAGATGATCCATCGCGCTTTTTTCTCTCTCTTTCTGTCCTTGTTCCTAACTTCCGTATGATGAGTGCATTATGCCTCGTTTGAACTTCCAATATATCGTTTTACGGGTGTTGTATTTCTATCTATCTATCTATCTATCTATTATTCTAAAAACGTTGATTTATTTGTTTGTTTTGTACGCATTCATTCTTTATGATACATGTGTTAACGTATGCTTAGATAGTGATACATATTATTAACAAAAAAAAAACCTAAATTATGGCTTTCTTCTGTTTGGTTTTGTTTTCATAGACGTGCGTGCTATATATTATATCTCTTTCATAAATATATTTAAGCAAACATTTATAATATTTGAAGAAAAAACAAACTGCGCGTTCTATGTATACTCGTTCGTTTTCGTTTGTTTTTGGCGTGACATCATCTATCATTAAACAAAAATATATCTAGCATTATTATAATCAGTTTTTTGTTTCCGTTCTTTAAAAATATACAACATTGGAATAGAAAATATAGCAAAAGAAATCTTTTTGTTGTTCTAGTTCATGATGAAATTCGTCAAGATGAATAAAGCAATATACTTCAAATCTTAAATTTTATTTTGATTTTGTAAGTTATATGTACATATTACAAATGACAACAAAAAAACAGAATTCATTTTTTTTCAGATCAATATTAAGTTTCGATGAATATATTCTTTTAATTTGTTTTTTCCTCAAAATAAAATTTTTGTTTTATCTTACTATTTTATGAAAAATAACAACAAGTAGATAGTTTATTCTTTGGTTTAATAAGTTTTCTGGAACGTTATACTAGTAAAGAGGAAAATGAGAAAGAAGAAAAAAGAAAATGTAAGATCAAGAAGAACAACAACAATAATAATAACAGAGGTAATAAGTAGAAAACTAAAAACAATAACAACGACAAAAGAGAGTTTTTTTGTTTTTTTTGTTTCGATAAGCATTTTTTTAAATTTACAATGAAGTCGTTTGAAATTTAATTTCCATTCCATAAGCCAGATTCTTTCACAGCCATTTGTAGAAAATATTGTGCTTGACTTATTTGAGCAGGAGAACCTTGTATTGTAATAATACGATCATTTGAACCTGGAGCTGGATCATCAATACGAATACTAGCACCAGACGTTTGACGTATATGTGCTATTTTTGTACCACGAGGTCCTATAATACAACTAGCTAGATGATTTGGAATAGTAACTTGATTTGTCTGAATTTGTGGTGCACCATAATTTGAATCATTTCCACTGATTAATGGACGTGGTATGGGTGGAGGGGGTCCTTGATTATAATTATCGTTTAGATCATTATGATAATTATTAATATTATTATTATTATTATATGGTGGACCTTGGAAATTTCCTTGATCACGAGGTCCACGATATGATGAAGGTGGTCCATTTCCACCACCACCACCATTACCTCCTTGATTCATCATTGCACCATATTGAACTTCAGAAAAACCGCCTAGAAGAAGAAGAAGAAAATAATTTTCATTTGTTTTGAAAAATTTTCTTCTTTAAACAAACCATATTCAGATGAAAGATTTACATCAAAATTAATTGGATCATAGAAACACATTTGTCCACGTGGTGGTGTTTGATCAAGAATACTAAAAACTTCACGTAAACAACGTTCAATATCATCAGCACGACCACGTAATGCAACGACACGTTCAGTAGAAAATGGTAAACATTGAACAAAAACTTTCATACCAACATTAAATTTTGATCGAAGTTCACGTACACGTTCACCACCTTTTCCAATGACCGCTCCAGCTTGACTTTGATGTGTTAATAAACGTATTTCACTTTGATCATTTTGTACACGTTGATTATCTCTCATTATTGGTAATATATCGACAATAGCTGATATACAAGAATCATAATCACCTTGAATTGTTAAAACACGTTCTGGTCCCTATAACAAGAGAATTTTATTTAATTGAAAAAAAGAAAAATAATAAATCTACATACATCACAATCGGGTACTTGAATAATAACTTTATGTTTCTGTCGAAGTGTTTGAATATTTGAACCTTTTTTACCAATAATAGCTCCAGCATCTCGACTACACACTAGAAATCGTACATCAAGTCTTCCATGATTACCACCACCACGATTTGTTCCATTGCTTGAATTATTAAAATTATTATTTTGTTGACCATTATCTTCATTACCCATTTTAGAATCTTGATCGGTCATGAGTGGATTAAAAAGAAGGGAAAATGGATAAGAGAAGATAAATGTCCAATTAACTGACTGACGGATCTAAAATATAATATAGAATAAACAAATAGACAAAGAAAATTCAATTCAAAGTCTGATTGAATGTAGCAAGAAGATGTCGAACAAATAAATTATGAACAGAGAATGTCACTCGATGAGTAACAACTGACCATTTGAATATATTAAATGCATTTATGCATTTGAGTCTTTGTTCATTTTCATTGTCTTTTAATAGGATTGATCAGCATTATGCTGACAAAATTGTTATTGGTTATACAAATGACTAATCAAATAAAGTAAAATTCTTCTTTTATTTCTATGAATGAATGTCGTTACGATGATAAATGAATTTCTATAATTAATCATATTGATATAAGTTAAATGTCAATTCGATTTTTTTGCAAACATGTCACAAGAATATAAATATCATGAACTATATAATCTCGTTATGATTGTGTTCAATTTCGAATTACAAGACTGATTGATTACATTTTAAATATAGTTGTTGATTCTTTCATACTTTTAATTAAATATTAAGAATCTAACGATCTTTTTCTTTTGTTAAATATAGTAAATATGACTTTAAAGATTTGTGGAGAACTGGATAAAATTTTCGAATTTATCATACATAAACAAAGTACTTCTTATGGTTCACTACTATTTGTCTTAAAACAAAGCTTATTGCTTCATGATTAGAAAAGAAAATTATGTTTATTTTGCACTAATAATATTGTCTGTATTTTATTCATACAAAAATAAGTTTAAAAATTGAAGAGAATATACAGAATTTAGATACTATGTGTTAAAAGTTTTTCATAGTAAGGTAAAGCTGCATCATAGAGTGATACAAGATGGTTTGGAATAGTATCTCGAGTTCTTTTTGTTGAAGATATTGTTCGAAATCCAGTTGATGCATGAATTTCATTGTACGACGATTCAGCCCAAAGACCATCGATTGATTTTGGACCTGCTGGCCACGATAACATTCTATCAGTAAAGGGAAGATTTAATTTTTCACATATATGAGTTAACGCTATTGTAGGATCTCTGTTCAATCCATTACTATCAATAACAATTGGATCTTCTTTTGTCTTTTCTTTTAACCAACTATATGTTCGTAATTGTTGTTCCAAATATATATCAGCAGAAGTTTTCGATCGATCTGTTATAATACGTGATACGATAGTCTCGGCAGGATCATCAATAACAAATATATGACGGTACTTTAACAAACGATTTTCATTCATATATTGTACAGTATCAATATTATTTTTAACAAATACATTTCCTTGTATTTTTTCGTTTTTTTCAATTTCATCATGTATCTTATTTGCATCATCGCATTCCATTCTTAACATTATTTCATCGTAATATGCTTGTTTTTCACCAGTTTTTTTCAACCAAATTCCATAAAATGGATCATCCATAACATATGTATCAGGCCGTTGATTGAATGAATACATGAGAGCTGTAGAAGAATCTCCAGAACCAGAAAAAAGATAAATTATCATGATTAAAAAAGACAAATCAATATTGAATGTATCTACAAAAATGAAATATAACAAATTTATTTTTTGTTGAAATATGCACCATATGAACTGTAGCTTTCTTGAATATATTTGTATTCAAATAAAAATCAATCGTTAGTATCTTTGTGTATACATATGCAAGTTACGGTTGACTAGCGTCCTTCGATGATTTTTATTTCTTATATGGTTAGTATATATATAATATAAATAAATAAAAGTATAAGACTTAGATATATTTTTATTGTTTTATTTTGTACTGATTATTACAGTTTCGTTGATTAGAGATTTATTATCAAATAATTAAAAAACAATAAACAATACTATTGACTATTTAATTTATCCAGAAAACTTGTACATGATAAAGAACATCAGAGACAATTGTTTGTTTTGGATTGAGATACCAAACAAAGGAAAATGTGTCATTTGTAGAACCAAGTTTTTGTCGAAGTGCTTCCTCAATACTTGAATTGATTTCTTCATTGGTAAGTGGTGAATTCGTTTCTAGATCAATACTTTCGTTTCCATTTAAAAGAAACCAAATGACATAATGATTTGTACCAGCTGGAATGTGATAAGAAAATAGATTAGTTACAAATCGAAATTCGTGATGATTTGTATGAGCAATTCGAGCAGAAGAAATTTCTGTAGAAGGAACTTGTAACCTTGAATTAATAAAATCACCTTGAACGACAGGTTTCAATCCAAAAAATTTGTGAAGTACAAAATCTTGAAGACTAGCATAACGAGTTAACATATTTTTAATATAATTTTCTTTTTTTTGTCTAATTTCAGCATTCGGTCGAATACTTTCAGATCCTGGAATCCAACTATATTTGAGATGTAGCTCTTGCATTGAATCCGAATTCGATGATATATTCTGACGCATCATATACAATGCTACAAATATATAATAAATCTATATAATATTTGAAAACGTTGTTAAATCAAAGCACTGATTCTAAAAATATTTCATATCATTAGATAATGTATATTAATGAGTATTTATAATTCCTCGAACATATTTATATAATGCACACGCGGATGTAAACATTGTTGTGATTGTGCAATTTCACTCCAACAAAGAATACTCGTCATAACATGATGCTTTTTTTTATGTTAAAAGTAGTATAGAAAAAAAATATTTTTCTCTTTCTTTCTTACGGGGCACACGTGGTAATGTAAATGTAATTGTTATGATTTGCACTTCCTTCATATTCGATCATAAGGATTTAGATTTCATAATAATTCGAATTATAAGAAATAAGTTACTAATCTATCTCATATTTTTATTGTTCATGCGGTGCGAAGCAAAGTATTTCTGTATTTCTTCGTCAGTTGTCATTTCGTAGTTGAGTAAAACTCGAGTGCTATCTAGTTATATTTGATATTATTTGTTGAATATGAATATATTGAAATAGTTATTTTTGCTACCGTTACTTATTTCTTCACTTGCTTTTCTCAATTATAATATTAACTAAAGATCAATATCTGCTTGATTTTATTTATTTTTTAAATAAAATATGTACCATATTCGCTTGATATATACGCTTTTTTAGATTACATTTCGTTGAATAGATTTTCTCTTAAATTATAATCGATGATGTTCGCACCAGATTAAAAAATAGAAATATTTGCCTGCAAAATATAGAAGTTGTGCATTCTATACTAAATTCACAACTATCAAAATTAATATATAACATTAGATCATTGATCTCTTCGTTCGTAAAGTAAATTAATTTTTAATATCGTTGAAAAATTAATTAATATACATATTAAAATTGATGAATAGAATGTTTAATATTCTCATATCAAAAATTTCATTTACTGAAAAAATAAAAGATGAACTTATTGATTGAGTATTCTATGATGTGTTACAGACATAAATCGAAAATGTTTTTTTTATTTGGAAATAATAATATTGAATGATAAAGTAACAAATTATGTTCGTTTTCTCGTTCTAATTGAGTAAGAATAAACTACCTGACTAACGTCATTAAAATTATTTATTATTTAACATATAATTTATGTTTTATGTATTGTAATGTTTCATCATCTTCCATAAAATAATATCTAATATAATATAGTTATTTGTACGATTAAAATTAGGAAATTTTCTATGAATGTTTCAATCTTTCAATAATAGAATGATGATTGCATATGAAAAATATTATATAGTACCAAATTTTGTAAAGTTTTGAAAGAAATTATAAGAATCGAGTATAAATTTAACTTTTGAAGATCAAAATTTTTCTGCTGAAACAAATTTGATGCGACTTATTTTCTAGTTCTTTATTATTTAATTACTATCAAAATAGTACCAATAGTAGAGGAAGAGAATTATTTATACTAAACAAACGAATTTACTGATGATATATTTAGAAAATTCCAAGATATTCTTATACAGTTTTTCTTTAACTTTCGATCATTTATATAGCATTTTATTGTCTGAATAAAAGAGAATTCTTGAAAGTGGATGTGAATGAGTATACAGAAGATAAAATCACACCCTCACTTGCCTTCAATATATCATTTATTTAAAAAAATACGATAGTTGTTATCTTCCTTGATTATATTGTTTATATAAAATATATCTGATTCATATCTTATACTCATAGATATTTCATAGATAAGTATTTATTTATCCATACTGATGAATATAATGAAATGATTTATATGAAATTACTCATAGATTCATAATTATTTCCGCATTGACTTGCTGACTAATATTGACTGAATATCAGTTTCAAAAAAGAACAATAGACTTATTTTTTCGATACAGTAATAGCATGGCTTGCTGTGAAATAGAAGTTGTATCATAAAGTAATCAAATAACCCATATAAATATTTTTTGCCTCAAATGCGTCTGAAACGCGTTCGATATAAAACCTAACAATTTTGAAAAATATATGATAATCCATCTCAGACTCAAATTGAGTAGCTGTCAACAATGCTTTTCGATAATCTTAGCCTACTTCGGCAAATGGATTGACTCTTAACTTAAGCAATGACGATCATATTTAAACAGGTGCACCATAGCGATCAGAAATCGTTCATATACGCCACTAAGATATGTTAGCTCAAAATGTTTTCACATTGAAAATAAAATATATTTAAATGCGAATTTCATCGATAATTTCAATAAGATCTAATCTATTCAAAGTTAGGACATTTAATTTATAACACGATTTTTCACTTCTTTTTTAAATAATATTATTATCTTCTAATAAAGTAATATCATTTTTGTCGCCTACTACATATAATTAATATTGCAATTTTTTTCTATTGTACGGGTACTATGATGAATAATTTTATCAAAGAATTTAATGAATAAATAATTATTCATACAATCTATTTAGTAGAAATATATGACGAAAAGTTATTAATCATGCTATTTAAATATTAGTATTAAGCAGTTTGCTAAATAGACATTGGATAGCTGAAAACTATTACAATATTGTCAAATTATTATTCATACAAACTTTAGAGGAATATCGATTATTTGTCGTATGTTTAATTGAATTTTAATCTATTCTAACGTCATCTGGACATTCTTTGCTAAAAGTCTAATGAAGTTTACACGAATAGAATATATGTAAATCGATAATATCGACCACACATTTAACTCTTTCAAAGAAGCAATTTCTGGAATAAAATCGCGTTTGATACACAAGAAAGAAACGCATACAAACGCGCTCGGAAATATAATTCTGTCTCAACGCATTAAATGTTTTTCAGGAGCTTGTTAAGACGGACATAATCTTTTTTCTGTCTGCGTTTTGAAACGTTGTATAGAAAAACTGCGTCCAGACGCGTTTCGAAATTTTTTCAACCACGCGTCAACGCGCTTCAATGGGTTTTGTTGCAAAACCGCGTTTCGACGCACCGATTTTGCGTTCTATGGGTACATCGATAAAAGATAAAAATTAATCCACATGATTTTGCTACTTATTAAAAACGATGATAAAAGAGTAGGATAAAACTGACGTCATCATAAATAGATATCAATCAAGGAAGTAAAAGACAAAACCCAAAATATATGACGAGTATTTTAACTATTGGTTGACAAATCGCAACAGCATGTATATGATATTTTCGATATAGTAGTGTTTGTCATGATTTATATTTCTTTCTGATTCATATTTTCTACTTGTAACCTTTATATGGCTAAACAGAATTTGAAATTTCCAACTTGAAGGAATATCTATCATGACTTAGTATCTACGATCACGTCTTTAGTGAGTACATTTTGTCCCAACGTTTCTAATTATCATGATATACGGGTACATCTATATATATAAGGATGTAAAACTAATATATTTGATTCATTTACTTATTATTAATAACGAAAAATCAAACTTGAGACATTGATCAAAGTTATACAATGATTGTTATTATTTTATTTATCTTTATCATGATCAATTTTTCAAGAAATTTATATGGAATACCATTAGTACCGGTAAGTCATTATATAAAGATGTATATATATATATATATTTAAAAGAATGTAAATTTTTTGATTATTTTATTTAAGGACTCATCAGGAAAATTAAGACATCCTGAGGAAATTGGTAAGTTATATATTGTGAAATGAATAGTGATACTTCTGTAGGAAAAAGTTTTTAAACTTTTTTAATTAGTTTACATAAAATTCATAAGCATGTCTATTTGTATGTACTTTTCTTTAGGTGGACATTATCAAGGTGATATAAAAATTCCTGTATTGTCAGTAAGAGAATTATTTTCTTATACTGTTGAGAATAATAAATGCATCTTTTAAAAATAATTTAGCATGGTGTAGCGAAGCGTGGTGTAGCTATGCGTGGTAGTTATGTACGTTGGCCAAATGGAATTGTACCGTATGTCATTTCATCGGAGTATGGTAAAAATCAATTTTTATTTTTAACCATTAATTTCACTTTTGATTCTTTGAAGGATTAGAAATATATTTTTCATAAAACTTTTAAAAAAAATTTTATTTAATAAGTAATAAATGAGAATATTTTCCTTTTTATAGCACCTACAGAACAAAATGCAATTGTTTATGCAATGCGATTGTTGGAAAGTTTAACAGCTGTTAATAATGTACCTTGTGTACAATTTCGTGACAAAGTAGCAGCAGATGGTGATTATTTTATAACAATTTATAATGGTTCAGGTTGTAATTCTTACGTAAGTTTGTTGTTAGATTAGAATTCTTGCTAATTGAATATATTTTTACTATTCAAAGGTAGGAAGATACACAGGATATACTTTAAATCGTACAGTTAGTTTGCAACATCCTGGTTGTATATACAATGGAACAATTATGCATGAACTTACACATACATTAGGTAAATAGGACATAAATATTTTCATTCATTGCTTTATACAATATGAACGCCTAACTACTTAGAAATATTTCTCTGAGATTTGAGGTGAGTGTGGGTGTGAGTATTGTATTCATCTCACACCTACACCTTCAAGATGGAAAAAAGATTATAGGCGATTTATTTTTCTATATACTCTAAACACTAATAATTTTTATGTATTTATAGGATTCTACCATGAGCAGTCACGTCCAGATCGTGATAATTATGTGAAAGTGATTTATGATACAATAACGCCAGGTTATATATTCTTGTTTTTATTAGAATAAAAATAAAATACTAACCAGATTTCTTTCTGTTTGTTTCAACTCAACAGGTCTGGAACATAATTTCGACAAGTATAATGATAGCGAAGTGGACACTTTGAATACTCCATATGATTATGGATCTGTTATGCACTATGGCAGAGATTATTTTAGTATAAATGGTTCAGATACACTAGTACCAACAGACCCGACTGCTATAATTGGACAACGTGACACTTTAAGCCCAATTGACATCGAAGAGATTCAAATTTTTTATGGCTGTATTCCACCTATAATTACAACAACGAGTACGACTTCGACAACGAGCACGACAACGAGTACGACTTC